TCTCAAGCACAAAGTGCTTTCCAAACGAGCATTCAAGGTGAGGCTTTACTTTGTTTTCTTATAGCCGATGCCTTATATAAAACGTTTTGATAGGGTTGCACCTTATATAAAAGTTGTGTGTGGTGCAGTGTTCAAAAAATCGAATTGACCTCGAAAACCGGTCATGGGTTGGCTTCGAGTAACTTGGAACCGGTCCAAGGTAGTCAAGTAAAAACAATATCTTCAAGGGAAAATATAGAATGAGACCATTTTACCTTTGGTAGAAGGTGAGACATTAATCTTGACCATTGGATGTGACATTGGGTGGCTGAAATTATTCCATTGACCAAACTCAAACTTCAAAAGAAATTTTCTCGATCTTTGTAACACATCTAAGCTATCAAACTTCACATCGGATAGTTGTAAGTAATTTGACCATCTTGTATCAAAGGTAAATTGTCTTATTGTATGCAGTCATTTTGCTTAAAACGGGTCAAACATCTAAAATAAATCAAAAATATGGAAAAATATCAATTTTATTTATATTTTGTTATTACCTACAATTATTTAGAAAAAAATAAAGGGAAATTATCAAATATATCCATCATAGTTCCCTTTAAAAGTTACTTTTACTTTTGGTTCAATACATCTTCTAGTGATTTTTGCATAACAAACACTTTTACCCTTGCCATGGATCTATTATATGTGTGGTACTCTCTTAAACATACCCTCGCCGTGGCTCTAATAGATTTGTGACAGCTCGAAGGGTTCATAGAATCCTACAGCTAGGCTTCCTAATGCTTTGTAAACTGTCACAAACATAGCAAGTCCGCACGTTCTCACCACGACTCTAATAGATATATGGCAGCTCGAAAGGTCCTTGGAACCATTCGATCAGGCTTCTTAGTGATCCAGAAAGCCTATAAACCGTCACGAACATAGCAGGTTTTGTGACAGTCTAGTCATGACTCTAATAAGTCTGTCGCGGTTCAAAGGGTTTTTGAACCCTCCAATCAGGCTTCCTGGTGCTCAGGAAGTCTATAAATCTCGCCATGACTATAATAAGTCCGTGGTGGTTTATTAGAACAAGAGGGGTGAGGATATGTTTAAAGAGCGTCACGGACGTAATAGATCGGTGGCGGGGGATATAAGTGGTTTTTATGTAGAAATCATTAGAAAGCGGGTAGGGATGTATTAAACAAAAAATAAAGGTAACTTCTAAATAAAGAGAACTATGGGGGATATATCTAATAATCTCTCAAAATAAAAATTAAAAAAAAACTATTGAAACAACTATTTCTATAAACTCATATATGAAGACGAGAGATAAACAACACAATTTAAAACATCACTTAAATTGTAAATAGATTAAGACATAAAAAAAAAAGGGTTGTAACCCGGTGTCGGTCCCACCTAAACAGGGTCTCGGATGGAGTGCGCTGAAAATGGTCCTAACCTTTGGCTTATGCACAAAGTGACTACTTTCAAGACTCGAACCCGCGCTCTTATGCTGGCTACCTGAGATTAAGACATACATTATAAATAACTTAAAGATGCAAAGGGCAAGCTTTCTATTCTTCCCCACAACATCAAACTTGTATACTTCCCCTTATCCAACCGTCCATTCTGAATGGAGGGCTAAGATTGCTCCAATCACAATGTCACGTCACTACACTATTTTATTTTTAAATTTTTTTCTATGAACTATTTTGACACCAAATTTTGGACGTCCAATCCTCTATTAAATGTGCACTAACGAAAAATATAAAAAAAAAATTTCCAATAAAATAAAATGATCAAAATACCCTTGAAAGTTTCAAGCGGTATTTTGGTCATTAATTTTAAAAACAATTTATTTTTAATATTTTTTATAGGTTCCCCCAATGAGAAGATGATGTGTACAAAATTTCATATTCATACAATTTGTACAAAAAAATTTAAAATAAAATACTTTGAGACGTTGGATCTAAGATAAAACGATGAGTGGCTCTCTTTATCAAAATTGGACAGCTAAATAGTAGGGGAGGCATAGATCTTCTATGTTGTAAGGGAAGTATAGACACCTTTCTCAAAAGTAAAACAAGGTGTGATTTAAAAAAAGGCCATGCTTTCTATGTTTTCCCTAAAACATAAAACTTATATACTTCCCCTTATCCAACCGTCCATTCTGAATGGAGGGCTAAGATTGCCCCAATCACAATGTCACGTTTTTACACTATTTTATTTTTCATTTTTTTCTATAAATTATTTTGACACCAAATTTTGTATGTCTAATCCTCTATTAAACTCGCACTAAAGAAAATATAAAAAAATATATTTCTAATAAAATAAAATGACCAAAATACCCCTAAAAATTTTAAGGGGTATTTTGATCAATATATTTTATCAAAATTTTATTTTTAATATTTTTTATAGGTGCTCCACAATGAGAAGATAGCACGTGCCAAATTTCATATTTATAAAATTTGTATAAAAAAACTAAAAATAAAATACTTCGATATATCAAATCTAAGATCAAACGGTGATTGGCACTCTTAATCAAAATTCGACGGTGGGATGGTAGGTGAATAGACTTCTACACAGGAGAAGTATAGAAACCTCTCCCTTAAAAAATGAAGAGAGAGTTAGAAGTAGTGGCCTATAGGACCCACAAGTAGGATTAAGAGTTGAGATTTGAAAAAAAGTCAGGCCCTCATTTTGGAATAATATGTGATCCGTGTGTGGCAAGATGACGTAGGGAATATATGATGTCTCCCTTTGTAGAAATGTGAAAAATCAATGAGGAGTAACTATTATTAAATGTAAAAAGTTTGTGTGGTCCACGTGGACCACACTATTTTAGTACAAAAAATAAAAGAGAGAGCAAGCTGGAGAAAGAGAGGGAGAAAAAGTTAGAGAGAGACAGCCCCTGCCATTTTATCTCCCGTTCTCTTTTTATCTCTCTCTAACTTCTTCTCAGATAAAGAAAGCCAAGGACCTTGTTGCTCTCGACACGTAGAGAGAGAGAAGTGTTGCCTTTGACACTGGAAGAGAAAGAAGGGCAGGTGCCTTATTGCCCTTGAGAGAGAGAGAATGAGATATTTTTGAATTTGAATTGCAAATTCTTTTAAAAAATATATATATATACCATGAGTAACATTTAGAAAAAAATACAAAAAACAAAATGGGGTGGATACTCACCGGTTCCCATGAATCGGCCAGTTCCTAAAAAAACTGCCCAATTTGTTTGTAACTCGAATTGATCGGTTATGGTCGGGTCCTAACCCCCCCAAGTGGAACCCTGGAATCGGGAAAACCGGGTTAGCCAATACCGTCCCGGTTAAGTCGACCGGTTTTTGCTACATTGGTGTAGTGTCAGGGCACTTGGACAGTGTGAATAAAAGTAGGTGGGCCCTATTGCAAGAGGAGGATGGTCCAAGAAGAAACGCATGAGAAGGGTCCCCATGCCCCAAAGTCCGAATCGCTCATTCAGGCGCCTACATTTTTAAATTTTAGTTTTAGTGAGAGAACTTTGTCTCAACCCTAATGTGTGAAATTAGGCTTCATGGGGATTTAAAAGCACTTACCAAATAGATAATATATGTGGGTACAGATTCGATTGAATACTAGACCTTTCCTTAAAGAAAACTAAAAAGTTAGCAAAGAGTTGATTGGCCAATAGAACTAGTGAGTAAAGGGAACACACGTGCAAGTGGAGATTACAAAACTACTTATATCCATAAAACATTTCAAAACTATTGACAAAAAACCAAAAGGAAGTTAAAGGGCGGTAAGGAGCCCCGATCGGGCCGGGTCAGAAAGCAAATAAGAAAATTAGAAGAAGAAACAACAAGAAAAAGGGTCGCGCTGGGCCAAACCGGGATGATAGTAACCCTAGTGCAACCCTCAGAGCACAATGTGTAGCCCAGGCCTAGGGGTGGCAACGGGTTGGGTACAACTAGACCCAGACTTGGACCCAAACCCAAATTGTATTTAGGTCTATGTTTTGGACCCAGACCCGACCCATCGGGTCCAAAAATTGGATCCATACCCATACCCATCGGTTCTCGGGTTTGGCCGGGTCTATTGCTACCATCACTATAAGCTTCTTCTTTTTTACCATCACATATGCATATTATTGACAACAAGGGCACAATCACCGGCCTCAATAGATTTCAAGCCACTGATTTGTCGTTTTACCATCATATACATATATTATTGGCAACAAGGTGACAATCACCGGGTATTAGATTTCAAGCCACTGATTTGTCTTTTAATAGCTAAAGATGGTTGCATGTTCTTAGTATATATGATCTTTAATACACTCAAACGAATAAGGGCTGAAGTATTTTATTTCTTAAGAGTTTATGGGTACATGTCAAGTCCAATAGGACCCAGACCCCAATAGTGTTCTGGTTCAAGATTTGGACCCGGACCCGACGCGCTAGCTCCCGGGTCCATTGCCATCCCTACCCAGGCCCTACTTTTTTTTACGACCGGGCCGCCCGGCCAGCGCTAAAGGAAGGTTGAGAGAGGAAAGAGAAGAGAACAAAGAGAGGGTTGAGGGGAGAGGGAGAGGGGGGGAAGAGATGGAGACTGGGAAGGGAGAATTTGGGTTGTAATGGAGGGTTGGCACAAAAGGGTAGGATGGTGAAGAGGACTGGATTGGATTTATTGAATGGAGTTCACATGCCTGCACGAGGAGGTCGGCAAGGGAGTGTGCCCACGAGACAATCATGGGGGCCGTGGGGACTCATTCTCTTTTGTACTCCCCCTCACTCTCTAAAGGGAACGACAGTTGATGGAAGCAGGCCTTCACAATCCTCGATTTTGGTTAAAAATAATAATAATAATAGAGTGGAAGTAGGAACACCAAGATGGAAAAAGAAAACAAACAAACCAAACGCTATAATGAATTGCAACACCCACCATATATATATATATATATAATAATAATATGAGCACCCCAGCAGCACAAAACTCACAAGTAGAAGAACAAGCAGAGAGAGAAAGCAGAAGTAGAGAGAGAAGGAAACCTCACAAGTAGAAGAAGGCCGAGAAGTAGAGAGAGAAAGCATGGTGATGAGTACAGTGATATTCGCGGCAGCGGCGGCAGCTTTGGTGGTGGCGATAATGGTGAGAGAGTGGAGAAAAAGGAAAGAGAGAGAGTCGGGAGTGAAGGGCAGTTTGGGGTGGCCGTTCATCGGAGAGACTCTCGAATTCATTGCCTGCGCTTACTCTTCGACACCGGAGAGCTTCATGGACAAGCGCCGCCTCTTGTAAGCTCTTTCTCTCTCTAAAATCTCTTCTCTTTTTGGTGCATGATTGCAGTTTTGTGTTTAGGGGGTGTTAATAATAGATGGGATCATGAAAATGGGTTCAATTATTGAGGGTAGGGGGGGGGGACGGTGAGGTTATGGTTGATTCCCGGTGTCCGCTCAATTTTGGATAAAAAGGGGTGTTGGGGTGACCGTGGTACTTCAAATTCTCCCCATTTCTCATCAAACTTTTATATTTTCGTCCTTAATGGACGCCTGTAGAGAGAGAGAGAAGAGAGAGGAGAGAGAGAGAGAAGAGAAATGTACATTGATATTTATGTTAGATGGATGTGTGTTGGCTGCTGGAGAGAGTGTGTGTGTGTGTTTTAGGTAAGTAGAGAGAGAAATTAGACTGCCTTGAGAGAGATAGTGTGCGTTTTAGGTAAGTAGAGAGAGAAATTAGACTGGCTTGAGAGAGAGTGTGTGTTTTAGGTAAGTAGAGAGAGAAATTAGACTGGCTTGAGAGAGAGAGTGTGTTTTAGGTAAGTAGAGACAGCTATGAAGAAGTGAGCTAGAGAATAACAGGTTTTCTTGGAGAGAGAGAGAGACAGAGTTTCATTGGCTGTGGGTGTGTAAGAGAAATTGTGAGGTTCTTGTTTGCTGAGCTGGATAGAGAGGGAAAGAGAGTTAAACAATGAATTTAGAGAGGGAAAGAGAGTTAAACAATGAATTTAGAGAGGGAAAGAGAGTTAAACAATGAATTGTGATAGGAAAAGTTAAGGTTGCAACCTTGTGCTATGGAACACCTCGATGAGATGTTTGAAAAAAAGAGTCTACACACTAAGGGATTGTATACAATAGGACCATTTATTTTTGTACAAAGGCTCCGACATGAAATATGATAGTTTGGTGCGTCATAAAGTTCGAAACAATTTTTTTTGGATTTTGGGCTTGGATTTTGGGCTTGGTCAATGAAATAAATTCAACTACCCAATTTCACTTTCAATTGTTAAAGATTAATTGTGACCATCTTGTACAAAAGGTAAATGATCTCATTATATATTTTTCTTAAAAATAATCTTATCTTGTAAAAGTTTTGTAGACTATTTATTTTCAAGATTTTCATTGTTGATGGGTTCTCTTGAATTGCACTTTTTAAAAATTTTAAATTTTACAATTAAAGTTGAACATAAAGTTTTAAGCAATTGTAAGGTTTTCGACACTGAAATTATATCTTCCAACAAAATTTAGAGTTTCGCCTTACTTGTAGAGTGCAAAGTGGGCACATTATACAAACCACATAGGTACATCCCAGAATTCGAGAGCGTTTTTATATTGGAGAACCCTCCAATTAATTATCTTAACTTCAAAATGTGTGGATATGAAGAATCTCCAAATGATCATTTTGACCTCGAAATGTGTGTATATGAAGAAAAAAGAAATTTCAACTCCTAAATATAATGTTTATTGTAATAAGTTATTTAGACTGTCTATTTTCAAGATTTTAAAATGTTTACTGATTTAGTTGTTCTCTATATTTTTTTTAGATTCAAAATTTTATAATTAGAAATATAGTAGACTTTTCAAACCAACACAAAATTTCCAACACTGAAACTATATTTTCAAAAAATAAAAAACAAGATACTTTATACTGACCTTAAACTGCCAGGTATGGGAATGTGTTCAAATCTCACATACTAGGGAGCAAGACCGTGATATCGACGGATGCGGAGGTGACACGTGTGGTGTTACAAAGCGATGGACGGACGCTAGTGCCCTTCTACCCCGCGTCTCTCACTAAGCTCATGGGATCCTCGTCCATTCTTCTCATCAACGGTCCACAGCAAAAGAGACTCCACGGCCTACTTGGGTCCTTCCTCAAGTCGGCCCACATCAAGGCCCAAATCACCCAAGACATTCACTCCTACGTTTCTCTCTCTATGTCTAATTGGAAGGAAGGCCACCTCGTCTACATTCAAGACCTAACCAAAGATGTAACCTCTCTCCCTCTCTCTAAGCTTTTTTCTCTCTCTCTAAAAAGCAAAACCAAAGACGTCTCCGTCTAAAAGAAAACCAAAACCTCCCCCTCTCTCTCTCTAACTCCCCATCTCACTCCTCAATCTCTCTGCTTCACCCTCTCTATCAAACTGAAATGAAATATCCCTCTATCCTCTTTTTTTTATTTTCCTCTCTATCAAACTGAAATGAAATATCCCTCTATCCTCTCTTCTTCTTCTTCTTCTTCTTCTTTTCTTTTTTTTTTTTTTTTTTTTTTGGTAATTCAA